TCTAACAGGTTTGTTTTGAAATTAATTTGATATTTGGGGAGTGACAGCGAACTATATTTTCCAGGGAAAAGAAAGTAAAACAGGGAAGAAAAAAAGGCCAAGTCATCATCATTCTCTTGCGATTCATGTCTCCGACGACATCTTTTAGCTTCTCCCTTTACGCTTCCTCTAATCATGCTCAGATTTCTCAACCAATCGAGATCCGAACCTTGCTAAATTCCGGCAACAGATTCTACGGTTCGAGCTCTTCCTCCCTTACTTCTTCTTCGATCGCCCCGGAAAATCTAGTTTTCTCATCAAGGAAGAAGCATCTCCCCGTAAAGGTATTCGATTTCGGAACTTCTTTGTACTGGATGAAATTCGAGAACCCATGTCCCACTTATTGGCAATATGCTAAATCTAATGTCATTGATTGAGATTACTCTTTATGTGGTCTTTTTGGGTCCACTGGAAGATGTATTCTTCTGTTTCGCTTTTATTCAAGTTAAACTCAGTTAATCTTGTTTTGTTATAATCTCTATTCTTGGTGGGTCTTCTATATCTTGGGGTGATTCATGAGTGTTTGGTGTTGTTGTATATTATAGAGTGTTTTGGTGAACTATTTGCCTGCATTGTGGGATAGGTCCAAGCGTTAGCTGCTGAAACTGAACAGCCAAAATGGTGGGAGAAGAAAGCAGGTCCAAACATGATTGACATTCACTCAACCGAACAATTTCTCAACGCTTTAAAAGATGCAGGAGATAGATTAGTTATTGTAGATTTTTATGGAACTTGGTGTGGTTCTTGCCGAGCAATGTTTCCAAAGGTCATTCTCTTTTAGATACTTAACAAATTATCTCTCATTTCATTTAATTTGGGGTCTGCAAAGATAATGTTTCTTGGCCTTTATTGGGTGGCTTCATTCAAAATCAAATCTTGATACTTTCTTTCTTTTTCAGCTCTGCAAAACTGCACAAGAGCACCCTGAAATTTTGTTCCTTAAAGTAAACTTTGACGAGAACAAGTCTCTCTGCAAAAGCTTGAACGTCAAGGTGTTACCATACTTCCACTTCTATCGTGGCGCCGAGGGCCAAGTCGAATCCTTCTCATGCTCCCTTGCTAAGGTTAGATCCTCTTGTCCCTTTCTCTCTTTAATTCCCAACGCCATTCTTTCTATCACGAAACTGCAAGGTATGATCTTAATGGTGTTCTCTAAAGTCTTATAAGCTTCTGCAAACATTTCTGCAGTTCCAGAAACTTAGAGAGGCTATAGAGAGATATAATGTAGGTAGTAGCAGTGACTATCCTTCTTTAGCTTCTGAGAAAGTTGAAGATTCAAGCGTATAATCAATGTCTGTATCTAATTGACCAAAGATTCTTTAGTTTGATGGCTTCCTTGTATATATGTTAACTGCAGTTTGCAACTTCAGTTGTGTACATAGAGTGAAGAGTCGAATTACAACTAAATTCTTTTTTTCTTTCTTAATGCGGTACATTAGAATTAGATGCTTCCTTAAACCGTGTTAAACCGGAAAGTGTTCTAGGATTCAAATTAGAACAAGTTCATCCCAATCACTGTATTTGAGATAGTTTCTGATATTAGCAAACCACAAAATTGCGGGATTCTTGACCGCACAAGTAGGCGTAGTCTAGTGGAACAGATAGTCGGTTCCTGACATAAGAAAAATCAAAACATATAAAACCAGTCCGAATCTAAAAAGGTCTAAAGTAAGGTATGAAAGTATTCAAAAACATATAACACTTGAGAGCGAAACTGCATTTTTTCACTTGAAGAACAATTGACATGATGGCGAAGCCCTCGGCTCACGAGCCAACTCCTTTAACATCTCAAGTTTATCATCCGAAGTAAAGTATTTCGAGGTCGAGAAACTTGCTTCCTTCAAATGTTTCGCATTCGTTAGTATGTAAGTGGCAACTTCTCTCTCTTCTTCGCGTTGTCCATTGTATCTTTCCCACTCTAATTTTTGTAGGTAGAATAACAAGCAAGGAGGAACATTAATCGGTTTACAATATTGTGCGTTCTCTTTACTGAATTTCCTGTGCCCCTGTGACCAAAACAATTTTTTAAGAATACAAAATTATTTAGATTCATCAACCTGGAAAAAAACTAACCTAGAAAAGTAAGCAAAGTTAAGAAAGTGTTCTTACCTCTCTGAGCTTGAGAACTTGTAGATTAGGAGAATTCAATAGCAAAATCTCAAGTAGATTCCACCACTCGGTTTTAGTAGTAGTTAGCTCCAAATATACAAGCTGTTGGAAGATAATACTGGTAGCATACTTAGTCTGCGGTACAAGTAAACGGGAAAATATGTTCAACCATAATTCTTCTAATTCTAAGACGAGACCTTTTTTGACTCGTCCTGGTTTCAAAAGCAAGACTTCGATTTCTGGAAAAATTGAAATGATGTGAACTCAAATGGATGCATGTTTACCTCTAGAGGCGAAAAAGACAAGGAGAGACGCTTGACTGATGAGGCGAGCGGTAGGAGAATCTTATCGGTATCTATATTAGAAAGATCAATAGTCTTTGCCTCTCTTAGCTTTGGCATATGCTCAAGTGAAAACTTAAAATCTTTAAGTCCTTTAATGGACAAGTAGTTCAAAGAAGGAGCATCTATCACATACCCTCTTCGACCATCTCCATCACTACAATCATGTATTGATAATCTTTTTAAAGATGGTACTGCTATAGTGAAGTTTATCACATTGTCAATATATCGTTTGACGACCAAATCTTCAAGATTAGGACAACTTGAGAAAAGCCTACGCACTGAATCATCGTCCTTATAATACACAAGTTGAAGGTTCAGGATCTTAAGGGACTTGAAACAAATAGTGGAATCAGGAACATCTACGCGAACATAGCTCTTGAGTTTCAAGACCTCGAGTGTTTTACAAGCGTAAATGGTACTTGGCAACTGGATGAAGCCTTTCTCTGAGTAAGGATCAAGTTCTAGCTCACGCAAACCACGTTCAACGGCATACTCAATCCATATTCCAATATCAACAGCATCACAATTCGAGTCAACTATAAGCCGCAGACTTTCTAAAAGCGGAGACTTATACAATAATAAAAACCTATTAACAAATTGCGGCGACAATCTTAGTTGAGTTCTATCATTTAGGTAATGATAGTCAAGTTTAGGCACATGTTTCCAAAGAGATCTCCATCGTTTCGACAAAACACAAGTCCCTACGACAACTATTGTCGGAACGAAGGACAATATATGAATCAGCAAAGCGTCAGGCAATTCACTTATCCTATCTGTATTCACATAAACTCTTCGTTTCTTCTTGCACGTTTGACCACCGATTCTGCTACAAAAACATCAATTAGGACAATCCCAAATCGATTATAAGAAGAGCATAAGACTTTGGTCATTCGAATGCAGAAGCGAAAGGAAATTCTGAACGCACGAAGAATCTAGAAAAGAAACTTACTTTGGGTTTGGGTGCATGGCCGATATGAGAGAAGACTCGAAGGAAACCCTAGTTTTCTCTAGGATTTGTTTTATGGGTTTTAAATGTGTAGTTTTCTCGAGGTTTAGAAATAAAAACATGTTTGTTTTAAAAAGGTATGTGTATTCCGTCACAGATACAGTTTGTATTGCATGGAAAGAAGATAATGAAATTGTTACGGCCCAATTAAAAGAAATAATTAAATTTGTGGCGGGTTAGTGGTAACACAAATTGGTTTTTTTGTGCTTCGGGTTCAAACTCTCTTTGGTATGAGGGGTTATTCTTTAAATCGAAATATTCAAAGAATGCCTCTGGGTACTGAGGAGATTATGAGCCAAATGTTCAGAAGTCTCACTGTTTATT